CAAAGTAGAATGACATTTGCTCAGTAAGGCTGCTGAAATGTTACTTCTCTTAATATTTTTCAACATAATATTTGTCTTATAAGCAGAATACCTTCATAGACAATGTTGAAATAGCACTTAATAACATTGAATTTTATGAAGCAAGCTACTAAAATTAGTGACAATTTTGTTTATAAATATCCTTTGAAGCAGTATTTTGTGAAATCTAAACATTAACTCTGTGATACTGAACCTCTGTCGACTCACCATTCTGTTGTTTATAGTATACCCTTTTCAGGCTTATGTCTTATTATACCGGTGTAATTCTCAGATTGTTGGGGCAAGTGGGTGTGTATTCCCATTCAAATGTGTCTGTCTGTAGATTGAAAAATTGCTCCTTCTCTTAAGGTTCTTGTATACTTCTTTAGGAGGCGTTCCTTAATCTTTGGATGAGAATTCCTGGATTAGAACTATTAAAATGTAATGAGAAATTGTTATTTACCTTTTCAAGTAAAAACATCATTCACACATGTTATAATATGAAAATATTAGTGTCTATATATTTTGAGACAAGGCTTTCTTCCTGTATTTTATAGAGTGACTTCTTCATTCTTAACACAGATACTCTTATTATTTTGAAAATAAAATAAAAAAACTTTTACGCATAGGAAGAAAGTCATCTTGTCCATTCCCTTTGAATCCAGAAAGGCTGAGTATTAACATATCTTATTTAAATACTTTAAATACTAAATATTTTGAAAATTGTCTTGGATCCAATACCTCTTGTGGGAAAATAGGAGAAAGGAGGGGGCAGTTTAGAGCTCTGCCTGGCTAGATTCAGGAGTCAGGTTGCATGGAAGGAGTAAGAACAGATCAAAAAGTTCAAAAGAGTTGGAAGAGTTTGGAAGCAGATCTTGGACAGATCCACTTTCCAATGTGGCAGCATGGAAAGGAAAGAAATCTTTAGCTTTGTCCAACAACATAGATGGGAGATGAGTTGTCAAAGACATTAAGCCAGTTCAGATCCATTTTTTTTTTCAAAATCAGATGGTGTGCTGTAGCACAGATTTTCTCTAGGTTTGTGATGAACAAACCTACACCACTCAGAGCATTCCTAGTGTGGGTATGTAGGGGAAAGGAGGTGGTGGTAGTAGTGGTGGTGATTTTTTACAACCTACTTTGATTGTGTTCTCTTCTATGGTCTAAATACTAAAGTTTCTGTGGTGCAGTAAATTACCTGGTATGGCTTTTCTAGCCATAAGTCTTTTTAAACTCCATGGTGGAATTTGCTGTGAGCAACTGAGGAGCTCCTGATTGTAAAACTTATCCACCTGGGGTATTTCTGTTGAGAGTAGCACAAAGCAATGTTCTGGGAAGTTCGCTCTCTCTCCGGTGTTTAGAATTCTGATGTTATGATTGTCTAGTTTTGCCACTTGGCCAGGCTCAAAAGGAGGCTTCCTAGAGGCAGAAGTCTCTCTGACTGCTGGCTGAGAAAGGCATGCTGCTGAGAAAAAAATGCACTCCTGAGAGAAACATGCTCCTGAGAGACATGCACTCCTGAGAGACACACACTACTGGGAAAAAGACGCAACAGACATGCATTGCTGGGAGAGACACCAAGAGACAGGCATTGCTGGGAGAGTGGCTAAGAGAGACTGTTGGCTGAGAGACGACGGGCTGAGAGAGACTGAGGGTTTTCCTAAACTTGAATTGTAGCCTGGTGCTTCCTTAATAAACTCCATAATCTGTGAGTTCTGTGTGGCCACTGCAGTGAATTATCAAACCCGGCAGAAAGGTGGTGAGTGCTGTGGGAGGAACGGTTGGTGTCAGGGTTGGTGAAAGGGCTGGAGGGAGGCAGCATATCTGGCCTCACAGGAATAGGCCTTGGGCTACTGATGATGATTCTGTCTTCCTTTTGTGGGGTTGGAGGAGGTCAGAAGATGTGCCCTCCTTGCCTTTTTGGCAGTTTCTCATGACTTCATTGGGAATCTATGTCCTCTTTCTATACTCATTCTGGTTTTCCTTTTGGGTAACTGCACATCCTGCTGGAGTGCCCTATGTATGGTAGGGTCTTGTTCATTTTAGACAGAATGCAGAAGAGTGAAAGACAGTATTCTCATTTTGATAATCCTTTCATTGGCTCCATGGCTATCTGTTCCTTCTTGTATTAAATTTCTGACCTTTTGGAGTCTATTCTTAAGGGCCTCTGAGAGGTGTATTTTTGTAGTTATTCTGAAACTGTCCAGGTTATTATGGTATTGGGGTGCACAGGGAGGCAGCTGGAATGAAAATCATGGTTGTCACAAGCCAGAATGTCCTAAGTACAGTAATGCAAGAGGTAGTTTGCAGGAGTGCAGTGTTGGTAGTGGAGATAAAATCATGTTGTTCATAGAATGTGAAACAATGTTTTACTCTCTGAATACACAGGTGGCAATTTCCATTTGGCTAGCAATGAAAAAGGACATACAGATCTGGAGACCTTAACCAGTGCAGCTGAAATCAATTGACACTGAAGTATATTTCTCTGTAGAAGAGATTGAGAAATGGATAGGGAAAGCTGAGATGATGGTGTGATAGAGTGACTTCACCAGTTTCACAAGCTGTCTGTTGTCAACTGGGCATCACTTAGCCTCGTCTATGTTTTCTGAATCATATATCCCAGAACCCCCAGTCTCCTACGTTCTGGGTTACACTATTCCAAATAGAGCTATTTGTGCAACTGGAAGGTTGTCAGCTTCAGGGAAGCAGCCTAGAAAATCGGTGGTGGCTTCCTGTGGTTTCTGAGGTGCTTCTGAGAATTACCTGCTTCAGAGATATAGGCACCTGAGAACTTTGGTGACTGCTTCCCTGAGACTCTTGAATTCTGCATTTTTTTGAATGTAGCACCCCTGATCTTTATTTCCCTAGCCATTCTAGGGATTGTTTAAACCTCCAATTCCCTATATGCAATCTCTTCCTCTATTCAAAGTAGATATTGTGGCTTCTGTTTTATTGAAAGAAAAATGATGGATAAATCCTGAACAGCTTCATCAAACTCCAATATTAGAGTGAAAACTCCTTCTGTGCAGGACTGGTGCCTTGAATATACATTTTTGTTTCACATGTTCCCTGCCTCTTAGTTGATTTTTAGGCAATTTTTGTTAAAATAAATTAAAGAGAATGAACACAAAGTATAAACACACCTAGGACTGCCTATGTCTTTCCCTTTATAATGATCATCTTCATTTTTTCTCCTCAAATAAAATTAAACAACTAAGATAGGACTATTCATAATAACAATTTCATACAATCAACAACAATTTCATACAATAAGTAGTTTATGTTATTTAAAATGTACTTGACTTACAGTATCTCAGAAAGTTAATATTCTCAAGTAAAACTGACCCTCATCTACTTCTCTGAGTTGGTAATATTAGACATGTTTGAAGAAAATTATAAGATATTAGCATGTAACACACATTTATTAAAAGCAATGGCACTAATAGTTTCATTATAAAACAGAATACTTATGAGTAAAGACTTGACAGTATCTTGTTTAGAAAAGTGACCATGGCTAATGAGGTTATCTTCACTCTTAACCCAATAACTCACTCTTTTTAAAAATTTGTTAAACCTTCATCTGTTATACTTTTTCTATATTAAATAAGTCTTGCTGTTGTTATTTTACAAATGTATAAATCAAGGTATAGACTAAGACATAGTGAGTCAGACGCAAAGGTAAAGACAGCTTTCAGATACTCTAAGAGAAGATCTATTCCTTTTCCAGTAAACCATGCTATTTCTTCAAATTTGTTACTTGCAGTTTGTGATTGTCTGGTCAATCTATCACCTTGACTTTATCATACCTGTCCATTCCTCTCTTCCTAGTCTTTGCCATTTAGTCCCCCATCACCACCATTATTCCAGTGATTAGTTTTAGAGCCCATCTCTGCTTGCCATTACCTGTCTTGCTTTCTGATAGAATTTTTCTCATTTTCACACTATGTGTATAGATGTTTACTTTCATGGAGTCATTAACTACCTGATGGCTTGCCCTTTAGAGACACTGAGGTAGATTAATTATTTCTTGTGAGATTTGGTGAATTTTTAGATTTAAATTATTGTAACTGTACATGCTTCCAGTCTGTCATTATTTGTAGTTGTAAAATAATGATTTCTCAGAGGAAAGAAGAAATTTGAGAATATGTTCTATATGGCTCAAATTAAACTCCCTTTAGGGTCAATTCACTTAAGACATTTTAGTGGAGCAGAAAGTAATTTTAATTAAGCTTTTCTTAAGTTTATAAGGATGTTGGATCTTTACTGCAAGGAGGAAAAGGACATAAAATTACTAATAAAAAGAAGAAATAGATATAGATATTTATTTTCTTTTTTTAACCTTAGAGACCTCATCTAATCTTTTTTTTTTTTTTTTAAGGTGAAGCTAAACGAAAACAAAATAAAAATAATAACTACATTACAATCAATGTGGTGTAGTGCCTAAGGCATCTAATTGCTAACCAGAAGGCTGGTGGTTCAAACTCACCAGCACTCCTTGGATCCATTTGAAATTGCTAAAGTTAGGTTGATTCAAACTTAGTGATTTTCAGAGGCTGGTGATCTCTTTTAATTGGAGCTATAATATATAAATTTTTGTGAGCAAAAAAGTAACCTCCACATTGTGTATATCATCCAGGTGATGCATAAAATTCCCTAAGGGTTCCAGACCATTCTCGCCCCTCTTCCAGATGATAATACTCCTGGTATTTGTTGTTTTAAGAATGTAATATAGGTAACACAAATGGTTAAGTTCTTAATTATTAGCTGAAAGGTTGATGGTTCAAACCCACCAGGGACTACTTGGAAGACAGTACTGATGATTTGATTTAGAAAGGTCATAGCCTTGAAAATCTTATGTAGCTGTTCTCCTCTGCACACATGTTCTCCATGAGTTGGAATCAACTTGACAGGAACTATCATCATCAACAACAACAACAACAACAATAGCAATATATGTTTGGGTTTAGGAGGCTAATACTAACCTGGTGCAGGTGCCATTGTTGTAGCATGGATGATCAGCACATCGAGGGACATGGCAGTTCTCAATGTTCTTTCCACATCGTGCTTCATCAATGATAAAGAATTCTTTGCTATTTACTTGAAGCTCTCGAATGCAGCCCTTGAACCCATAATTATGGTCCTCACTCTTACGGATTTTTACATTTGCAGGGATATGGCCAAGGTAAATTGAATCAAAATATACCTGTAGGAAAAGTAACACAATAAATCTTATTATAAGGTGTTCTATTTTGTAATTGTAAGTTATAATGTGTGTTTCTGCATAAACAGGTTGCAATTCTTGGTTACCTCTGCTAGGTAGTAGGATAAACTACTTTAGAAAAGGGCTTTTATTTTACATTTCTCTTGCATCTCTCACAATATCTAATGTAATTTAGCACAAAAAAAGTAGGTACTCAAGAAAATTTGCTAATCGATTACAAAATATATCTTTAAATTCAAGTGTTTGCATTTCAATTTGGTGTACATTATCAAATATATAGATTAATAAAATGAAGCTATGTTAACTAATTGTATTATAGTTTATTCTAAAATAGGAGTAAAATTTATGGTGCTTGCATATTAGAAAGTTGGAAATATTACATTTTAACATCTGTTCAGTTTTCCACCAAAAGATGAAGACAAATATGCATCAGAAGTAGAAGTTAGCTTAGATTATAGTAAGTCTCTTTATTAACCCTTCATCCCCCAAACCAGATCTAGGAAGGGCTCCAGTTCTGATAAGGCATAAACAACCCATGCTATCTCAAAAGCAAACAGCCCATTTATAGGCAATTAGTAGAAAAAGGGGAGTCTTTATAAAATTGGGTCCTTGATCTACCTTCATTTGGATAATACATGAGAGCCACAGGGAGTTAGTTCTAAAGTCTGCGTGTAAGATGAGCCTTTCATAGAATCTAAATTGTCCTTGGGAGCTCTGGTGGCATAGTGCCTAAGGCACTTGACTGCTAACCAGAAGATTGGGGGTTCAAACCCACCAGCCACTCCTCGGAAGGAAGGTTGGGCAATCTACTTCTGTAGAGATACTGCCTTGGAAACCCAAGGAAGGGTCGCTATGAGTCGAAGATGACTCGATGGCACATAACAACAAATTGTCCTTTGAAATACTTCAGGCATCAGATTGGAGACTAATGTGGTAGCTCCCAATAATTTCAATGCAGCTACATTTTCCTACTAATTCTGGGGAAAATGCTTATTTTGTCAGTGTAGCATTAGATGAAGCATACATTAAGAAGCCACATCGTATAAGAAATTCAGAATCTCTGTATGGTGAAATACATCATTAGAAGAGGCAAAAGGACATTTATACCAATTGAGACAATAGCAAATTCACTTCTTACTTCTTATGCTCATTGTCGAGATTATACTAATTGACCAGAATGATGATAACATCTTGGGCATGATTTACCCACCCCCAACCAACATATAATTGATTTCTCATAATTTAGATAGACATAAAATGCAATTCCCCTCAGTAGGAATTCATGAGCTACCACTGAAGTATTGATTAACCTGTAATGAGACCCTACTCCTCAGGGTCAGTAGGCATATGACAGGGAGATGCAGCAACATTTGTATAGATTACATCACTGATGTCTCCACCACCGGACTACTCTCACATCTCCCATGCTGATGTCCCAAAAGTATTTAAATAGCAGTACAGATAAAATAATATAGCCATCTTTTGAGAATTCAAATATTAAGTTAAATAATTAAGTTAGAACTCTAGAAGGAGGAGTGGTGGGAGATGCCTAGTAATATCACTTAACATCGATGTTAATATGTACTAGGTTGAAGTGAATGCTTTTAGAGAACAGAAGCATGTTTAATTCTAGGAACATCAGAACATCTTCATGACCCACTCTAGGTCAAGTTAACTCTGTATTTGAGCTCTTCTTTATTTAATGACTCAGACTCTGTTTCTAAGAGTGATTCCTGTTTTGTTTTTTTTCCCTGAGTACTTCATATTTTAGTCCTAGAAGGTGACTATTTTTAGAAGTAGTGGTATGGAAAGCAGCTAAAAGTTCCAAGGTATATCAATAGAGTCCTCACACAGATCACAAATGTGTCTGTTTTCACAACCTATCTCATATGCTAAGTCAATTTATGTTAATTACGCTAACAAATTATCAGGGAACTCTTTTATCAGTTAAGATAAGTGATCCACTGCTAAGGGCAATTGGGATCTATCATAAATCTGCAGAGTCTGTCAATCCAAGGCCATGACCTTTCTCTCTGGAGAATCTCTGAAGTCTTTGTGTATTGATCACACACCTAGTACAGTAAACCTCTCACTGCTTTGACAAGTGTGCTATTTTAGCACAGAGCTGATAGAGGATGGAAGAATACCCATCTCTTCTGTCAGGCAGATCTGAGGGAAAGTCTATAGAGCTGTCTATGATTTATTAGACCATTAAAAAACACCCAAACAATGGAAGTAGATGGCTCTTGTATTTCTTCTGATCTGAGACCCAAGCTTTCTTGGAGTCCTGAAATGTCTAAAAAAGGAGCTGCCATTGACTGCACATAGATAACCATTAAAATGGTTGACTTACTCTATCCCCAGACTCTCAATTATCCAAGAGCTGCCTTTTCTGTGTATAATCATTTCTAAGGAGACAGGTCTTTAAAATAAGTCTTTTCTAATAACTCCTTGTGAATCAGACTATGGAGAATAGAGTCTGACATCAAGATATGATCTTACAAGATAAAACCACAGAGAACAGACATGGACAATCAAGGAAGAATCATCAGGATAATGAAACATATGAATGGTAACTTAGAGAAAAGGACTCTACATCTTACAAGAGTGAAATGTGCATTCCTTTTCCTCTCAATTTCCTTTGAGGGAAGAATATAGTTCATCTTTTATAATATGTGGGAATAAAACAAGAAGATTAGATAAGGATAAGAAAATGTCTAAAAATCAGAAGAGAAAAGAAGCTGCTATGTATCTTATTTTGTTTTGTTTTAATTTAGATGTTGGAGTATCTATTTCTGTAACTGTATATTGATTCAATATATAGTTTTATTTTACATCCTCAAGTCTTTCTGAAGTTAAAAGACTTTTGTGTTATAAAATATGGGTAAGGTAACTGCAAATGTACTTTTTGGTTAAGATTAATTGTCAGAGAATATTTGTCTTCGCCCAGGAATATTATGACTTGTAAATGAAACACATTGATTTTTATTTAAGTGTCATCATCAAACATTTGTGTATTGACATATGTTAACCTGTTATCTAAATTATATGCAGACAAATTCAAGACCAGAAGTTAAGTTTTAGAATAAACTTAGACAAGAGATGTTGGGTAAAATGTTTGGGAAGAGGGATTTATTTAAATTAACTTTTTATAGGTGAATTAAGGCTTAAATTCTCAAAAAAAAAAAAATTTAAAATCCAAACCCAGTGCCATCAAGTCAATTCCAACTCATAGTCACCCTATAGGGGGAGTAGAACTGCCTCATAAAGTTTCCATGGCTGTAAATGTTTACAAAACAGATTGTCTCATCTTTCTCCTGCAGAGTGGGTGGGTTCCAACCACTGATCTTTTGTTTAGTAGTCAAATGCCTTAACTACTTTGCTATCAGAATTCCCTCAAAAACTATTTAGGGACAGTAAATAAAAGGGGATGGAAAAGCAGGAATATTTAAAAACTTCATCCACCTGAAATTAAAAGATTTCTTTCCTCCGTCTCTCTTTCTCTGTCTCTTCCTCTTTATCTGTCTATCTCTCTGTGTCTTGCTTTCTTTCTCTCCCTCATCTCTTTGCTTTGCCCTGTAGTATGATAACCTGTGGAAGTACAGTCTCTTGTATATTAAGTTATGTCCTTTTTAGGGTAAGGTCTCCACACCGGTAATTTTTATTCTCCCAGAATTCATGGCAGTGCCTGGCAAATAGGAGGCTTAATACAAGTTTATTACACATGACCAGATTTATGGAACCCAATCTTAATTTTCTTATAGATTTTTTTTTTTTTTATTAGGATTTGGGTGAAGATTTACAGAGTAAATTCACTTTTCATACAGCAGTTTACATATACTTTGTCTCATGTCATTGACCAAAATTTACAATGCAACAGCTCCCCTCCCACTTCCTCCCCATAGTTACCTCCTCCCAGTGTCCATCCCTTCACACTCTTCTGCACCCTGAGCTATCTCCCTGTGCATAAGCAGCCTTCCTTCTCCCATGATTGTTCTCTCCAGGGCGTGTGTCTACTTGAGGTAAATGTTTAACTCACTTGCCTGTACTTTGTTTGGCTGGAAACCACAGTTGTGGGTTCAATTCCAGACCTGAAGGGCAGCTAGGGGCCATAGTCTCAGTGGTTACACCAGGCTCCATTGGACCAGCAAACCTGGTCCCCACCTTCTTTTTTTTTTTTGCCTCCAAATGATTTTGAGTTTTGTACCACATTGTTCTCCCTCTTTATGCAGGATCTCCTACATCCCTTCCAAGTGGATGGCAGTGGTAGCTGGGCACCATCTAGTTCTTCTGGTCTCATAGTTGTATAGGTTGCAGATCGGATGGTGTACCAGTCGCTAGGACTGATTGTTTCCATTAATTTTGGTTTTCTTCTTTCTTCTTGATGAGGAGAGACCCGTTGTTGCATCTAGATGGCAGCTTCCTAGCTTTTAAGGTCCCAGTCGCTACTCGCCAAGGTAGTAGGTGGAACAATGTTTTGTATAGTATGTTATGCCAATTGAGCTTGATGTCCCCTGCGACTATGGTCCCAAGCCCGCAGGATCAACTACTCGGTCCCTCTGGGTAGCTGGCTGTGACCAAGTAATGACCATAACCTTGCCCCTTGTCAGCTCTACTATACACCTGGGAATTCTGATCATTCACATGAACTTATAGGCCCATTGTCTGCCAACCCTATATATGATCTTGGATACACTCTCCATTTAGACATACCTAAATGCCAATCATAATTTTCTTTAGTCTCCTACTTGTTAGGTCTTTTTTCTTGCTTTATACTCCCTTGGAAGCTTGCTATTTTGTCAGATTCAGCATATGGGATACCCTCAATTGACAGCACTAGAGGAGGAATATCAATATAGCTTTATTCTAATGTATTTATTCTCTATGTATTTAATATAACATAGAACACTGGGTGGCACTTATATTGAATTTCTGGCATTACATATGTGTTTTCCATGCAGAAGTACATAGAAAGAGCTTTT